TACAAACAATAAATACCAACATGATAAACCAGAATAGAACATCACAAACACAGCATTAATCGTATAAAATAATTAACAAATCAACAATAAAAAATTACAATCTATAAAATTGAAAAATAAAGTAAACATCACAATTACAACAAAAGTCATGTGATATGATTAACAAATCAATATGGCATTTATAATCTATAAAACAATATTAACAACTAAACAATATAGCAATTTCAAAAAAAAGCTAAGCACTGCAAAGTTCATACATACTCTCATAACTCACAATCTTTTGCTCCATTTGGTTCATTAAAATAAACATAAAATACATATAATTGTTTTGGTTCATGTGTGAATTGGATCCTTTCGCATTAAAATGCAAACTGGACAGAATTTCTCCCCTATCTCTATAAAGTGGGTCACATAATTTATGCAAGGCAGCTCTCGTCCCAATTTCTCCTTAATCTGCAACAAGCAAACCCAAGACAAAATCACTGAATATTGGTAGCTGAATATGTTCTGGATAAGAAACCTTTGCAGGCCTCCAGTCAGTAGAGGGCAGGGTTGAGAATAACAGATGGTTCAGGAAAATGCACTTTGTGGTTTCCCACTGAAGAGCTCAAGGACACCTTCCAGCCTAGCGTATGCAGCTTGGGGAGACCTTCCAATGGCTGGAAAAGGGGGTCTGTGGGGCTCATTTGTCTCTCCAGGTCTGAGGTTGACAAAAATTCTGACTCTGTGCAGGTGCCCATATAATGATGCCCCGCTGAAGAAAAAGAAGAAGAAGAGCTCAGGTGCTTTTAACAGCCACCTAGGAGGCAGAAATACACCTGGGGAACCAATACCAGTTTTTGGCTGCTATTTCTTTATTTCTTTATTATTTCATAAAATTTATACACCACTTGATTGTTGCTGTTGGTTGTTGTTGCTGTTTTAAAAAGGATTGTTTTGTGGAAGAACGGAAGCCCTTTTCAAGTATTTAAGGAAATATTATACTCTGGCGAACTAGCAAGCAGGAATTGCATTATGAGCAACAGAAGGCATTAGAGAATACAGCATTGTTATAAGAAAGGGAATGCAATGTGCAGCGGAAGGGAGAAATTAAAACATTATCAAAAATGGGGTGGGAAGTTGAGAAAAGACAAATTTGTTGTGTATTGAAGTACAGTCATACCTCAGGTTACAGACACTTTGGGATGCGCAATTTCGGGTTGCGCACTGCGCCGAACCAGAAATACTGGAACAGGTTATTTCTGGGTTTCGGTGCTTGCGCATGCGCAGAAGTGCTAAATTGTGCTTTGTGCATGCACAGAAACGCCGAATTGCGACCTGCACATGCGCAGACGCGACGCTGCAGGTTGCAGGTGCTGCAGGTTGCAGGTTGCGGGTTGCGGACGTGCTTCCCACATGGATCACGTTCACAACCCCGAGAGTCCACTGTATATATGTTAAATTTTTGAAAATTCAACAATTATTATAAAAGAATCGGAGCAGTTTGCAAAAGGTAAAACAGTAAAATCAAGAGAAATTCACAAAATGCAAAAGTTAATATGCCAAAACATATTAAAAATTATCTCAGCTTTCTAAGCATCTGGACAGGCTTTTCTAAACAATAATATTTTTAGCAGGTGTGGGAAAGTGTACAGTGAAGGCACCTCTCTGATCTCAATAGGCCGGGAGTTCCAAAGTTCAGGGGCTGCTGCACTAAACAGCTGAGTTCTTACAGGGGCAGAACGGGTTGTGAATGTGGCACCTGTATTAGTGCCAATTCCACTGACCAAAGTGGTTGAGTGGGCACATGTGGGGTAAGGTGGTTTTGTTATGGAGTCATGCGGTGGGCAGGAGGAGTCAGCAACCCTAGTTTTATTTACCTTGCTGTAAACATTTATGTCTTGCCCATCTACTAAAAAAGGCCCATGAGGCAGCTTAAGAAGAATAAAAGCAATCTACCATAAAGTATCATAAAGGCAAGAATGAAAAAGAAACCAGGTAAGAGCCGCAATAAAACAACTTTGGAGTACTTATTCTAGTTGGCCAAGGAGACCTGTTTTGCTTTGCTGTCTGAAAGTTAGAAAAAAAGGGTGTTATCCAATGGCTTTAGGGTCCCAGAATCAGGGCACCACCACTGAAGAGGCCGTGGCCCCGATTTACCACCCACCCGATGGTTCAGGCATCGAGACAAGGCCTCTGGTGAAGCTCTTAACAATGGTAATACCGCAAGGACATAAATTGCTGTAGCATTAAAACAACAGCTGTGAGATCCCATATGAAACAAGCAAATAAAAATAAATGTGTCATTCAATTCCCCCTTCCCCAAGAGCTGCAAGGTCCTTTCCCCTTCTTTTATTGACACATTTGTTTTTCTCATCTCCAGCACGAAGGCATTTTCATTAGTTATCTGTGCTTGTAGAATCCGAAACCTCGGGCACTTACAATATTGATTAGTTTACCAAGTGGCTGGTATTATGGATAGGACTGGCTCGGTAGACAAAGCAGCGAGGGGGAAAATGCAACTCTTATCAATCTGTAACCCCCAGCTTCCTGACGCCTCTTACTTTTAGATATTAGAGGCTCCTTGTATTCCAGGAGGAGAAGAGAGCATTTGAACCAATTCATTGCCACACACATTTAATGGACGCCGCAGAATGGTTTCATCGGTGTTTTCAATCACCTTAGAATGGCACTCCCTTGTAACCTTCCGCCGCAAGGAAGCCTCCATCTGCAGAATGGAGGGGGGACATTTTGGGCAGTTGCTCCTCCCCTCTCCTTAGGACTGTGACGGTTGACATGATGAGCTCCTGCACTGCAAAATTAACCACTACGGCTTGTCGCTTCTCCCAAGGTCCATGCACCCTGCCTTGCAGAAGACAGCCATCTATTCAAAGAATTGGCAGGTGGCAGTCCATAGGACCATTAGGAAAGACAGCAGGAGCCTTGAAGTCCACAGTCATCACCTGAACAGCAGACAGAGTAGCCACAGAGCAGGTCATTTACTCTATATATTTTTTGAGATACCTCTGTTTCAATGAGTGGAATTGTTTAAAAATTCACATCTATGCATAAAAACGAGAATCTGCTAATTTATACCCCTTTTTGGTGAGCTGCAGGCCACCCTACGGCTGGTGCATTCTTGGGTGAGGATATGTTTGCTGTGTGAAAATTGGAACGCCAAATGTGGCAGAGGCACCAGTGTTGGAAATGAGGAGAAGGCAGCTGGGGTTTGCTGTGAGGGCCCTATAAATCCTCTCAGCATCTGTTCATAGGAGCTGATCTCTGACTGTTGCTTCCACCACCCTCCCTGGTGTCTCTCTTGGCATCCTACCTAGAATGTTTTGGGAATGGCTGGTGGCAGTTATGGCCAAGCCAGTAGGTCTTGTCTGCCCTGGAGTCAAGCTTCAAACTTTTCCCAGTGCCAAATAGGTGAATGGTGCTTGCTTTTCTCAAAGGCAAGAATGATAATGAGACGTTTTGGCATCGCTGCTCAGGTGCTACGCCAAAGCCAAATGCTGGGGATGGAGACAGTTCATTTACATCTCTGCAGAGTGCTCTTCCTTTTTCTGCTGCTTTATGCAATCATGGTAATGATGCAAAGTAGTAGGACATTTTGTAAGTTGCTTAAAATTCTGTGAATTACAATCTCTCAACTCCCACCCCCTGCTCTGCCCCCACCCTTTTCAGTTCCTGGATATATCTCAGCAGGATCAAACACAAATTATGCTTTTCCTTTCATTCATATTTGCACAGCTTGGGGAATTGATTTTTCATGGTTTCCATCTGAAAGCCAAGTTAAAGTGAATATATTAAAGTTTACAAATATCTGTAAAATTATGCAGGCGCCATTTATGGTAATGCCGCATAGTTAATTCCAAACTTAAAGAGCTCTACAGCGGGCTCTGAATTGCATTTGCCACTGAAGGGAAGAGAGTGAGAGAGAGCGAAAGAGCAGAGAACATGCTGAAGATTTGCTGTCATTTCAGATTGCGGTCCGTAAAAAAAGAAAAGAAACAGAAAAATGCTAATTAAAGCAACGGGTCATATCTTGCAATGTCAAAAAATGATGTGACGCTTCCTTCCCTCAGAAACAATAATGCGGCTGCTTGCTACATAAGGACAGACCTCGTGGCTGGCAAGAAAGGAAAGAGGAAACTGCAGAACATAAGAGACCTGCTGGAACAGGTCAGTGGCTAATCTAGTTCATCATCCAGTTCTCATGGTGGCCATCTAGATGTCTATGAGAAGCCAGGAAGCAGGACCTGAGCACAACAGCTCTCTCTCTCTCTCTCTCTCTCTCTCTCTCTCTCTCCACTGGCATAGAGTGATGCTCTGTCACTGAGCTGAGCAATGGTTCCTCTCCCAAAGAGACAGACAGCACTGATAAATGTGTGCTTTCAAAACAAGAGCATGTAGCATTCCCCACCCTGAATGAGGTTCTTGCTTCGTGAAGATATTGTTAGGAGTTCAGCATACACTCGAGTAGGACCCTGGCAGAGACACATGCCTGACTGGCATGTTCTCTCCCTCCTGATCGATCGTTCAGGAGCTTCTTAAGCTTTCTTTAGCCAAACATCACAGCGACCTATGCCAACCGACACCAGCACACTTAGGGATCTTCAGAGTTTGCTCATCATGCGCCTGACAGACCTCAGCAACTCAACATTTTGGCTAATCTATTTTATTTACATATAAACACACATGGAGCACTGCAACATGGCTCCCTCTCTCTCCAGCATCAGACAGCAAAGAGAGAAAAAAACAAAGGACAATAGTCCCACTTCACGGAACACAGTAACATGAACATCCTGTCTCCGTCACTTCCCACTCTGTGGAGTCAAAACATATACCGTCATGTGATAGATAACAATCTCATGACTGCAATCATGGAGCAGGAATTCTAACAGACATATGGTGGGGTGTCCAAGAGTTCCCCTGTCTTTCATTGCTTACCTGGAACTGCCTGGGGAAGCGTAAAGGGTTATCAAGTATCTCATAGGCTACAGTCAGTGGAGGTAGAAGCCTGGGGGGTGGTTCAGTTGGTAGAGCATCCTAGGGTCATGGGTTTGAGCCCCACATTGGGCAAAAGTTTCCTGCATTGCAGGGGCTTAGACTAGATGAACTCTATGAAGGGCCAGCCAAAAGAGGTAACATGAACTGCATTGTTTTCGTCCATCATTTGTTCAAAACAATTAGCAGACATGGGGAGTGGAATCAGGCTGACCAATGGAAAAGGGTTAACCTGTTTTCCCCATTCTGCAATCATGATAGAAACTGGCTCCACCCAATATTGATATTTACTGCAAGTGGGGATGCTGTCACTGTCTCCTATACGAGTCAACATCTGCAGGAAAACATTTGCTGAGGTCATCCCAATTAGCCTTTGCTAACTTCTTGTCCTCCAGATGTTTTGGTGCCTGCTGCTCATCCATTTCTATCAGCGGACTAGAAGGCTGCTTGGGAATCCTATGCTTTGAGTTCCACAGAAGAAATTTGGAATATTAAATGAGTAAATAAATCACAGGTTTTGCATACACTTACAAATTACCCATATGTGAGTTGAGTCGATAATTTGCAGACTTGTATTTTGGGGTTTTTACTAAATATTAGCCACAAGCTCGCTACTACCTGTTCAGGACATCTTAAAGGAGAAATGTGGCGGTTCTGAAAATTTGCAAGGTTGGTCTCATCCATAGAGCCTTAAAGAACCAGTAAAGGACTTGACTTGATTGCAGAGACCTGGGTTCAAAACCTCAGTGTCCCAAGAAACTCACTCTGTGACCACGGGGCAATCATTTGCTTTTGTTCTAGCCCACCTCATAGGGTTGTTCTGAAGATAAAGGGGTGTGTGTGTGTGTGTGTGTGAACCTCATATTCTCTTTATCTCCTTGGGGACAGAGTGGGCTTCAAATGTATGGCTTTCAAAGTAGACAGGGTAACTGGCATACTAAATGTATGAAATTGTAAAGCACAGGAAACAAACTTTTAAGAGAACATTAATCCAGATTGTTATGAACAACCAAATTCATAGTACATTTCTTTGCCCGTGTAGTATCATGTCAATCAAATGCTATGTAAACAGGATGTCTCTTCAACCAAACCTCTCATTATTGCAGCATTTTGGATGGTTCCCCAAGTCATTCAGAGAGATAAAGCTGTCCTGTTTCATTGTGAAAAGGAACAATATTCCTCCATGCTCAGTAATTATTGCTATAAATAGCACAACATGTTATTAAAGCACCATTTCCCTCCCCCCATTCCCCATGGTACATACCCTGAGCAAATTCAGAAATAAAGACTATAGCCTTGGAATTATCCCCGGGAATAATTATTATGATTATGAACAAGTTCGTATATACATGTGTGCACACGCATGAGTGTTATAGTTGTAGTTGTAACATTACAAAGATGAATTTGAGCCATCTTGTGTGCTTGTTTTCTTTCAGACATGTTCCACTATGTAGAACATCATCGTTAACGTTGAAAGACATGGCTAATCAAAGTCTTTCCTTGCTCATATGATACAGGAGACATCGTGGAGTGATTTCCCATTTGGTGCTGGAGTTTCTGCCATTGAGCCATAGGTGTGTGTGTGCCAGTGGGCTGGAATTGGGAAAGATATACCCTCTTGAATGCATAGCTGTCAACTTACAGATTTGAAAATAAGGGACCAGCAGCCTCGAAAATAAGGGATCAGCAGCCAAAATAAGGGATCAACAATTACTTTGATAAAATACATATTTTGTTGTGTGCAAATGGCTTTAGATACCTATTAGGTCCATAAATTACCATATAGCATATATTCAACACAAAAAACAGCAACAATTTGTTGTTGACAAAGGACAGCTGGACATAGAAAGGGCCCCATTACCTTCAGTAGCTTATTTAAGGGGCATCATCAATAAGGGACAGCAGCGGGACATGGCGCTGGGATAAGGGACTGTCTCGCCAAATAAGGGACGCTTGACAGCTATGCTTGAATGTTTACTGAAAATGATAGAAAGAGGAGTACCAAGAATGATGCAACTGGTGAAATATAGTTTACTTGGCAACTGTGATGCTGCTCCAGAGATCGCCTTGCCCGGCCTCTGCACTCAGCAAATGAAGCCTCGATGGCAGTGTGAGACTTTTATTGTGTTGTTAGTGGTAACAGGGCCTTTTGTGTGGTTGCCCCGGGATTATGGGAAACTGTTGCCCTTGCAGTTCAGATGAGCTCCTGCTGGTCTGTGCTTTAGATGCCTCTTGAAAACCCCTCAAGCCTTCCCCAGCTGAATTCTTTTTCGTATTGGGAAGTTTTTAATGTTTGATGTTTTGTTATGCTTTTATATTTGTTGGAAGCTGCCCAGAGTAGCTGGGGCAACCCAGTCAGGTGTGCGAGGTACAAATAATAAAATTATTATTATTCTTTTAGCTTGTTGCCAATATGCTCTAGGGTGAAGGATTTTTAAAATTATGATTATTCATTAAATTTGCATGCTGCCCTTTGTCAATAGATCACAGGGTGGTTTACAATGTAAAAATATAAAATCAGAACACAAAATACATAATAAAAGTGACTCCATGTGTTTCTGTGTGTTTCTGAACCTAGAAATCTTTTTGAATTATCTAGTAACATAATGAAACAAGGGAAATGCCAACACTTCAGTACCTAGAATAATAGCACTTGATGTAATCTCGAAGATTTCTGCCTGTTCTTAAAGTATTATAAAATGTGTGGTCTAAGCATATTTACAGTTATGTTAACTTCTCACAAATGCACCTCATTGTCCGAGATGCCTGTGCCAATGGTGATGACAGAGCAAAAAATTGGGCACCAGTATCTGGCATATTGGTAGACAGTACAGCTGCACTATAGCTATCCAGAACCTTTCCTGGTAGCAGAACTTTAGCTGACAAAAATAAAAGGGGCTGAGATTTCACTGGGAATGAGTTCACCAAATGCTTGCAGCAGTAATCTTACAAGGTGAGATGAAGGTAGACTCTTCACAGCAGTGCTGGGTGATGGCTGGGTGGATAACATTATATGTCAGGGATGGGGAAATCTGTGGTCCCTCCAGATGTTGTATTCCAACTCCCATCAGCCTCAGCTAGCACAGCCAGTGGTGAGGAATGCTGGGAGTTGTAGTCCAACATCTGGAAGGACTGCAGAGCCCCCTGTTCCCAGACTGCAATGCAAGATTGTTGATAGGGGCTAGCTCAGGGACCACTGGGTTGGAGTAACGGACAGGAGTTAAGGAGCTCTCCTCCATGATGGTCCAAGCTGCATCAAACTTGTAATTTTCAAAGTTAAATGGCCTGTAATTATGTTGTCCCTCTCTCTTTTACCATCCGCAACAGTTTTCTGGGTCAAGTCTGTAAAATCCCAGTTGACTGACACAGCCCTGAGATGGAAAGATCATCAGAGCATCGTGGTACCCAGGATGCAGTTCAGCACAAGGCTCCTTACATCCTTTAATCCAGCACCAATTTAAGGCATTATATATATATATATATATATATATATATATATATATATATACACACACAAATAAAAACAGATTGCTTCAACTCTAACTTTACTCAATTTTGTAATTATTACACAGCGTTTGGAATTTGTCTTCTGACAGCAAGCAGCTCCCTTTACAAATTATGCGAGAACAGATGAAAGAGAAGTGTAATGGTTTTGATCTCATTAGGACATTTGCCATTAGTTGGGAGAGCAATTAAAAAAGTAATTCCGGCACCCTGAATACACTTGCCTTGCAGTCAGAAGGGGGTCATTCCCAATACCCATCAGGCACCGTCTTTAGTGTCATCATCACTCATATTCCACTGTGTGCCATGTGTTAGACTTTGTTGTCCTTCAGGGCATCTAACAGGCCTCCAAGTTCGTAAATGGGAAGAGGGAGGGGGTGGAAGGAAGACGAAAGGGGGGAAAGGTCCATTCTAGACTGGTTGCTATGCAGGCAACAGATTTTTCAAAACAATGAAAATCAGAATTGTCCTTGGGCTATTTATCAGCAATTTATGCATTTGCTTATTTATGGCATTTCTTTCCCATGCTCCCTCCCAGAGTGGTAAACACCAAAGTAGAGAAACAATACTATTTTAAAAACAAACAAGCAAACAAACAATTTGAAACATCTAAATACAGGTAACATAGTGACATAACTTCAGAGTTATAATAATTTCAAGGTTGTGAGGAACAGTATCTTTTAGCCAGCAGATGACCAGCTGGAATGTTTTTAAGCTCTACTGAAAGTTTGTAGAGGGAGACAGAAACATCTAACCAGGGAGGGCATGCAACATATGGGGAACCACCACTGAAAAGGCCCTGTCATGAGCCAGTGTCAGCTAGCCAGCCCTCTGTGGCATTACCAGTACAGGGAAGTGGGCATCAGCAATATTATGATGGGTTTTCAAGAGCCAAGCTCCTTGAATATCATCTCAGAAAGTGTGAATTTGATCAATTTGGATTTGGATACTGAATCAAATTTCTCCTCCATCCCTACTCAGCACCCTTAACAAACTATAGTTCACATGATTCTTTGGGGGGAAGACATGACTTTTTAAAGTGCTGTCTTACTTCTTTCAATATATAGTGCATGTGTGGCCCTAACCACACCCCCAGCACCATTATAAAGGAGAGGATTTATTTATATATCAATTTATTAAATTTGTATACCACCCTCCACCCATTGATCTCAGGACGGTTCACAGCATAAAAGTACAAGGAAAAAACAAAACAAAATACACAATAAAAACAAAAACAAACGAATGTGCCTTCTCCTTCTGATAAGACTAGAGGAAGTGGGTGAGACAGGAGGAAGTACAGTGGTACCTCGGGTTACATACATTTCAGGTTACAGACGCTTCAGGTTACAGCTCCCAGAAATAGTGCTTCAGGTTAAGAACATTGCTTCAAGATGAGAACAGAAATCGTGCTCTGGCAGCAGGAGGCCCCATTAGCTAAAGTGGTGCTTCAGGTTAAGAACAGTTTCAGGTTAAGAAAGGACCTCCGGAACGAATTAAGTACTTAACCTGAGGTACCACTGTAAGGCGAGAGACAGGATCTGAAGAGAGGAGGAACCTTCAAGGCCACAGGT